GTTAAATACGATATGTGGATGGGTGTTTGTATGCTCTACCGTTATTCTACATCTGGCTGGGAGGAGAGCTCTCATATCATCTGTGCTCTTGTGAACCACTCCATCAGTTGCTGTGGTTTCAAAAAGGCAGGGTTGTAACCCTATACCAGTAAGTAAAGGATGATGTTTAGATTTATAGTACTTGTAAAATGATGATATTCTGTATGAAACTGTTATTTTTCTCTAGTCCGCACGTGCATTAAGGGTTAGAACTGGCTGTTGGATGAGAACTGAGCAACAGTTCCCTGGAGAGGCAATGGTGAAAATGGTTCTTGGGAACTGACGTTGCTGGGTGGAATAGAGTTACAGTCAGCATTAAGGGTTGTGTTGGGGAGTAGTGGAGAATAATTGCTGATGACTGATAGGAGTCAGACTCTGGGCTTTGGAAAAATAAATTGCACGTGGTGTTTAAAAGGAACATTTCCTTCTCATTAGAGGGAAAAATGATCTATCGTTTTTGTGAGGTGCTGCTTCTGGTTGTTTATTCTGTCTTCAGAGTGTAAATCCCTGCTTTGGTAATGACATTAGTCTTTTGAATCGAGGAGACGTTCAGCACTTGAATCCTATACATTGGTTTAATTTTGGAGTATGGGTGCCTGCCAGCAAAGATTCCACATCCTCAACACAATCTTTTAAAAAAGAGAATTGCTAACCCCCAAAATTTTGAGATTGTTTTTGTTATCTGAGATTTTAAAAGCATTCGGTGGGCTTAATGCTTTAAATTTCATTTATGCTTTTATTGTGCTTTCAAGCTGAAATATGTGTTTTTAAAGAAAAGCTTAAATTATCACCTGCTCTAACATTGTCTTTCCTAGACACACTAATGAGTGAACCACCAAAAAAATTTCCTGATAAAATAGTGAGAATTTATGTCACTTCCACTCCAAGATGAACCATGACAAAATAGAGTAGATTTGACTGTGGCAGTACAGCTGGATGTTTTCCTCAAATAATTGCTTCCATTCAGGTCCTGGATTGACAATGGTGATTTCACATCCCAGAATCTGAGGATGAAGAAAGGAGTGGCAAGTGTCTTTGGTCATCTTTGATAACACCCTGCCTTATCTTTGTTTGGAGTGGACACTTGTAAGGCTGTAGCTTATATTCCAGATAATAATGCAGAGAAATATACTCGATGAGGAGTGATAAAATAATTTGATAATGCCTTTGATCATCTCAGTTTCTTGACTGTCATATTCTGTGATTTATGAGTAGCTGATTGGTGATCTGCTGTATCATTTTACTAAACTAAACTAGTTTCTTGCAGCCATCCAAAAGAGATTTTTTCATGCTTGCCAGGAAAGAGTCAATGAGCTCTGTAAGCTATTTCTCGTGTACTTATGAAGTGCTTCTTACCTTGGTGTACAAGTGCCACTGAAGTCTGCAAATACCTGCCATTGTCTACATGTTTATGCATTTCATTCAGTAAAGAGAATCCCAGTAGTTCTCTCCATGGTACCACATGTAGTGGTACAAAAGGTCACTTATTACTGAAAATTCAGCAAGGATGCTGAAAACAATTCAGATTTTGGGTTACTGAACCATGAATCAATGGGTAAAGAAATGCCAACACGTTCAAAAGAACTACCAATGAATGTAGAGCAAATTTGGCGCACTTAAAGAGGAAAAAAAAAAAAAAAGAACATTAATTCTCCACAGCCACTTTGTTTTGCTCTGAAGAACATCATGTTATCCCTGATCATGCCTATGCCTAATCCAGTATCTTCTCTCTGACAGTGGTCAGTGCCAGATGTTTCAGACGTGCTTTGTTTATTAGTAGCCACTCACCATCAAAGCATTCAATCCCTTCAATATCTTGAGCTTGAATGAACTCAAGTTATTTTGAGATTGCTGATGGAAGACGAGAGGAAGGAGTTGTTTCAACAAGTGATCTACACTAATTGCAGGGGTTGAAACATTCACTGATCCTGGGAATTGGTAATAAGAAAGGCATGCTCTAAGATGGCTGTTCTGACAGAATAATTGAATATTCAGAGGAGCCAGTAGAGTCTTGACTGCACTTTGGTTTTATTTCTGAGGCTCCCTAACAGGTCAGCCTCAGGGAAAAGTCTTAATGCAAATGCACTGGAGTAACAGCGTGGAAAGTGGGGTTTAATGTCTTGTGTTACATGCTGGTTTTGTTTGTAGTTTGCTTTTCCTGATGTCCATCTTGTATGGTTGCTTTGCTTTTGAGGGAGGAGAGCTGATGTGACTCCAAGACTAAGTGTACAGCATCACACAGAACATGTATTCTACTGACTGGGAAAGGAGATACACTCCAGTAGTTCATTTTATCCCCTGAGTGCTCCTTGAACAAGTGAGATAAAGGCACTAAATTAAACAGTGCCGTTCCCTGATCTGATGCAGCCCTGTCACTTACTCTAATTATTGGGGCTGTGTCTCAGCCTTTTTCTTATAAGCAAATGCTGCCCTGGAGACTTGGAAATTAATATGTTGATTTGAGTAAACATCTATTTGGCACACACCTTGAGGCACTGTAGCAACAGAGCTGCTAAGTAAGAACTACAGACTAAAATTTAGAGAAATCAGAGAATCCAGCCCTCATAGGGGCAGCTTGAAAGCTGAAGCTAAATTACTGTTTGTTGGTTTTCTCTAAGACCAGTGATTATAGTTATTTTAGGCACCTTGAAATTTGTTCAGACCAGTATTCTTTCACACAACTCCTGAACTAGATTTCAGTGCTGGTATGGAAGAACTATTCCCAGTAAAAGCTCCGGATGAGGCCATACTGTTTTGGAGAGTAAGAAGTTGTTGCTGGTTATGGCTTTAGGGACAGAGAAAAGGCCCCAGGAGTATTTAGCTTAGTGGAGTAAATATACCCTACAGATGTGTCTACAGGGATTGTTATAGGTGTCATTGAAATGATTCTGGGCAAGCCACGTGAATTCTCTCCAACCGCATGAATTGTGCTTCCCTGTGTGCATTATCATGACTTGGAAGACAGGATGATGAATGTGAGGAAGCCATGCACCTTGCAGCGATGAAGGGTAACTGCATACCAAGCTGGCCCCTCAGTATAGCAAAGATGTTGAGAAGCTGGAGAGAGTCCCTTTGGCTGCCAAGAGGGCAAGGGTAGTGGAACATATGATAAATAATAAGAGAGTGAGGGAGCTGGTCTGTTAATCTAGGAGAAGTAAAGAATAAAGAGAGGGGGATATAATTACTGTTTTACACTACCTAACGGAATAGAGGAAATGGAACCAGTCTTTTCTCTGAAATGCACAATGAAAAAACCAGAGGGAGCAAACAAAAGTTGTAACATGGGACATTCCAATTGCACGTAATGAAAAAATTTTCAGTGTGAAAGTTGTTAAGTGTTGGCACCAGTTGTCCAGAGAGCTTGTGGAGGCCTCATCCTTGGAGATATTTAGAACTGGTCAAGGCCTTGGGAAAACTGTTTAAGTTGGCCCTTCTTTGAGCAGAATGTTGGACTAGATGACTTCAAGACGTACCGGCCTAAATTATTCTATGATTATCGGCCACTAAGAGAATAGTCACATTTTAGCCATTTGTCCAGGGATTACTTGCTTCTCTTAATTGTTTTGGCTTTTCTCTCTACTCCATCTCCTAAGAGGATTGCTGCTGGTAGACTTGTGTTGGTGGCCAGTAGTGGGAAAGGGACTTCCAAACTCATTACAGAGAGGAAGTCTGTGGTTTTAAATGGGTCGTGGCTGACCCTGATATGGGACATGCTGTAGAGTTCCCTGCAGATGTCTCTATATCAGCACCACAGTGGTTTCCCCTCATGCATGAGTGTGGCAAAATCAGGATTTGTTTGGCAGTTGCCATGGCAACCTGACTGCAATCAACCCTTTTAACTCAGTGTAACTTTACCGAGGCTTTGTCCCCATGCTTTATTCTTGTTAATGACTTTATTATTATGGATAACATCATCCTCTAACAAACAAGGAGAGATTTGGTTCTGCATACTGTTTTCCTTCTAAAAAGACTGAAACTTTGTAGAACTGGAGAGAAAGCAAAGCTTTTGCGTCAAGGCTTAGAGCAGAAGGTGCAACCAGAAGAATTAAAATGGTATATTGTGAAGGGAGACCAAAGATATGACTGGTGTGCCATGATGGAATAGGACCTCACACGACCAACTGTAACCCCAACTTTCCCCTTAGTGGCTCTGTGTCTGGGCCTTTCTTGCCCATGATCACAGGAAAAGTGAGGTTGGAAGGGATTTCAGTTCTCTAGTCTAACATCCTGCCCAAAACAGGGTCAACTAGAAGGTCGGACCAGGTTGCTCAGGGCTTTATCCAGTAAGGTGTTGAAAACCTCCAAGGATGTAGACTGCACAACTTCTCTGGGAAACCTGTTCCACTGCTTGACTGCCCTGGCAATGAAAATGTTGCTCCATATACCTGGTCTGAAACTCTCTTGTTTCATCTTGTGCCATCTCTTATTCTTCTACCATGCACCACTGTGAAGAACCTGGCTCCATATCCTTGATGACCTCCCTGTAACTGTCTCTTCTCCAGCTGAACAAACCACTTCTTACAGGGCAAGTGCTCCAGCTCTCAACTATCTTGGTGGCCCTCTGTTGAACTCCCTCCAGTTTATTGAAGTCTGTCTTGTATTGGGGAGCCAAAAATTGCATGTGGTATCTAGATGTGGTCTGAATGATGAGTCTGGCTCTGTTGCATTTCCTGTAAACTTGACAGATATAGCAACATAAATAAGTGGTATAATGGGACTAAGAGTTTGGAGCACCCGAATATTGCTTCCACTAAGGATATATAACATGGCTGAAGGCCAAATCACCAAGCCTCACCCCCTGCCATGTTATTGTCTCTCTCTTTTGCACGTGTGTGAGTTGAGTAATAAAATCTGCACCCCTCATTGCTTGTTTTTTGTGTGTTTTTTAGACTGCACTGCTGTAGATCACCTAAATATTAACTACCTTTCACTAATGATGGTTTTTGTAATGGTTTTTGCAGGTTACATATCACAAGTACTAAAGAATTACACTGACCATGCCTGCGATGGAGAATATGTCTCCCTGAGATGTCCTCACAGAACCACCATCAGCATCCAGTCTTCTTTTTATGGCCGTATTGTACCAAGCCATCAGATGTGTCCTTCTCGCTATCCCCACTCCTATGCAACTTTAATTAAAGAAGATGTTGCCTGTTCAGTTGGCACTTCCCTTCAGGTATTGCACGTGAAACTGGAACGGTTCATTTTGGATTTCATCTTTCCTTGGCCAGGCAGCAGTTGGCTGTGCTGGTGCTGCATAGACCTGTATTAAGCAGCGCTACCCAGCATGGGAGCACTGACATCTCACAGCAGCTTAGCGGATAATTAATCTTTGTAGTTTAGATAGGACTGAACCAGACTTTGCTAATGAATTTCTTAATTTTGCTGTAACTCTAGTCAGTAACAGTTCAGGAATGTGGTTGGAACAGAATTGCACTGCAAGACCACATTATGTTTGCCTGGGTTTGAAGATTTTTTTTCAATAGTTTTCCTTCCCAATGTTTAGCTTTTTCAACGCATTCAGAAGTTCCTGTCATGTTGTTTTTACTTCAGAACTGATCCTCTTTCGAGAGGCTTTTACTTTGGTAACTTAAAACCCAGATAGAATCCTTGGCTTTACATTTTCTGACTTGTTTGGCTTTTAGGCCACTGTAAGTGATCATAGATCATAGATTCATAGAATAGTTTGGGTTGGAAGGGACCTTTAAAGTCATCTAGTCCAACCCCCCTGCAACGAGCAGGGACATCTTCAACTAGATCAGGTTGCTCAAAGCCTTGTCCAACCTGATCTTGAAGGTTTCCAGGGATGGGACATCTACCACCATACATCACTTAAGCTTGTAATCTCCCAAGCATCAGTAGTTAATCTGCTCTGTCCTTTTGTGGAGGGAATGTTGACTATATGTATCCTCCCAAGTGCACATGTGATGTGAGCAAAACAAAGGATTATTTGGAAGGTGCCAGTGTTACTCAACTGTCAGTAGGAACAACTAAAATTAGAAACATGAGTTGGCTGATGTTGAGATGAGTGGAATGGATGTTGAAATAAGAACAAGTCTTTCCAAGTGCAGGATTTGGGACTGTAAAGACTTGGGCAAAGATCTCAAAGATCTCAGTGTGTTTATTGCTATGAATCAATAATATCTCATAGTAGAAATTTATAGCTGTACTAGATTAATGAACCTACAGGACTAGTGAATAATTTGGCTAAAGGGCAGAGTTTCCCACATCACTTCTCACTCTTGCATCCGGGGTTTTTAAGAGGAATTTACAGCATATTTTTTTTTGAAGTTGATACGAGTGCTTTGGCTTCCAAATATCAGTGGTAAATTCTCAAGAAATTGCACAGAGTTGGTGTTTGCCTGTAGTGTAACCCTTAAGCTGACAGATTTGCAGTTGTCCTCATAATATTTCCACTGCACAACAAATGGCTGAGTTGTAGTATGGGAGGACATGGTCCTTATCAGTGGAAGGTTTTCCCAGATACGATAATGAAAGTTCATAATACGATTATTTTTTAGGGTGGGAGAACATGAACTGAAGACTTTGGCAGAGGCTAGCCTTCCCTTTCTTTCTTTTATTTATTTACTGCAAAATTTACTTGAAACATTTCATTTACCAGCGTGATTGATAGCTATGTGCTTAGCCTCGTCCCTTGCCAGTGAGTGGCCCGCTTATGGCATCTGGAAGAACATGAGAACAAGGAACATGTAACCTTTGGCTTTCCACACCATGGTTTTATGTGCAGGAGGGATTTAAAAGAGGTCCTTACCTCCCTGGCTTAGCTCCTTATGTCCTCAGAGCTGGTCCCCATTAGCTTTGCCTCCAACAGTTATAGTGCTTGTAATTGCAGCTCCGCTATTTATCAGAGTGAGAATTGTGTTCCTGTAGGCAGTCTTGTGGCAGATCTGTTGTACAGTAAGTTTGTTACATGACTGAGACCATAACATTCCTATTCACTCATTTTGGGGGATGCAGATGTGCTAGGGAAGTAGCTGACATTCTCTGTTTAGCCACAAATTTCTTGAAGGTCCTAGAGCAAGTTCCTGAGTCTATTTGGAGAAGATCCATAGTGCCTCTTTGGTGCCCCCAAATCTGTCTTTGATACCTCAGGGTGCTGTGCTTGGCCAGGGTAAGATGAGTCTGAATGCCAGAGATTAATCTTGTCTTCTTTCTCAATCCTGGAGGGAGTGAGGCCTCTCTGAAGGGTAACCCAGAAACTCCACAAGCTGAATGGCAAGCTGCCTGCAGCTCGCTGGTAGGAAATTCATGTATGTAGGAAAACTGGAAAGCTGTAGACAAGAAAATTGCGTGTGTTTTTGTGGTTTTGAAACTCAGCTATATGGCTGCTATAGGCAGGACCAATTGTGTGCATGTTCGATTGTCAGTAATTTAAAAAGTCAGCCAAACCAAAACCTTCAAAATTAAGTATATAAAATCACTGTTTCTAATCAAACCCATGACTACATAATTTTTCTGTTTCTCTGCAGAGCAGCCTGGAGGGATTGTAAGGGGCAGTTATTAATAATACTATAGTATTAATAATACTATTCCTTGCAAACACTACCTGGAGTAACAGTAAATTTCCATTTAGAAGCTCTCTCCCCTGTAAACGTCCAGTTCCGACATTGTTTCTGTGTTAAAGGGGAAAAGAAAGGGCTGATTACACTGAGACAACCACTGCTAATCCAGCCTTATGTGGTTGGCTGCCAGGATCCCTTGCTTTAGTCACTTGTTTTTGTTTGAAATGAAACGCAGACCACTTGGGAGACCGTGTCCGAGGCATTAAGGCAGTGACCCCAAACTACACGTTTCTGTTATTCTAACACCGTAATGTCAGATTCAGTGGGAGATTTCCAAATGCACAAAGAATGTGGACGTTCAGACTGGGATTTCAGTTTTGATGGGGTTGGTCTCCTGTTAACTTCCAGATCAAGTCACATGAACGTGGAGAGATCAGAACAACAAAATAAAGTTGTGTTGAAAGCCAGACATTATTTCCTTTTAAAACAGCTCCCTCTGCTCCCCCCATTCCACTCAGTTTAACAGGGGAGCCCAGAGTTAGCACAAGTCACATGAGATATACAGCAGGATGGAAAGAGAGATTTGAGCTGTATTTGTAAAGCATCTATGAGATATTTTGAGGATGGAATTGTAGAAAATTTCCACTCATCCTTTAATAATAAAAGCTAATTTGGGGTACTAGCGCTGTTAATTAACAGTCTGGCCTAGTATTGGCTCTTCTGTACTTTCCTTGTGGAGTCTTGCAGAGGGTATTCTTGACTGTGAAGTAAGAGAGAGCAATGTCCTTTTCCCAGCCAGGAGGGATGGATGAAAGACCGAGAAGAGGAACATCTGGAGCCTTGGTGGCTCTGGTAAAAGGCACCCGTGCAGTGCAAACTGTCCTGCCTTAGCAGAGGAGGAACTTTATGGTGGCTGAACCATCGCTTTCTTTGCTTGGACCAAAATCTATTCCTCTTTCACCTAGAAAAGTAAATTCTTGAATATTAAGGGTCATTTAGGCATATCAAAGTCATGCCACTGAAAATGGTTGGCAGTAGGTAAGAGGGTTTTTATCCACACTGCATAATTTATGCAGAGAAATAAGTTGTATGCTCACTAGAAAGTCTGTATCGTTAAAGCAGGATCATGCAACGATGTTAGTTCAGGTGCTGAAGAGCAGAGCTGTTAGCACGGTCCTGTGTGGGTGTCTTTGTGATGACCTGTAACTCCCATGTACCTTTACCCCTTTGGAGCAATTGTGCAGGTGCAGTTGGTCTGAGCATGCAACCTAACAAGTTTAAGAGCTCGAAGAGGTAGGTAGGTCTGTGCATTGTGCTTTTACAGTGGAGTTTTTCTCTTGCTCTGTCCCATGTCACCCAGATAGGGTTGGTCAAGCCCGTTGTTAATCTGCCCAATGTCTGATTTTTTTAGTGTGAGAGTATGGAGAAGAAGCTAAATTACATTGCTGCACAGCAGGGGGTGACACGGGAACATAGAATCATAGCATTGCTGAGGTTGGAAGGGACCTTTAAGATCATCAAGTCCAACCATTAACCTACCCTGAGAAAACCACCTCTAAACCATGTCCCCAAGTACCACATCTACCCTTTTTTTAAACACCTCCAGGGATGGCAAATCCACCACCTCCCTGGGCAGCCTATTCCAATGTTTAATAACCCTTTCAGTGAAAGAATTTTTCCTAATATCCAATCTAAACCTCCCCTGACATAACTTGAACGCATTTGCTCTCGTCCTATCACTTGTCACCAGGGAGAAGATGTCAGTCCCCACCTCCCTACACCCTCGTTTCAGGTAGTTGTAGAGAGTGATAAGGTCTCCCCTCAGCCTCCTCTTCCCCAGGCTAAACAACCCCAGTTCCCTCAGTCATTCCTCATAAGACTTGTGAGACATCTAGAGACGCCTTTCACTCCAGGGAGATTTGCTAGGGACCATCCTCATCTGCTTTAGCCTTCCCCTTCTGCTGTGGTTCTCTCCCCTCTCACACTACTGCATACATTTGCATTTTTCCTGCCATGGGGACATCTCCTGAGATCCTGCCTCTGGGGAAATAAGGAAGCTGATAAACAGATACAGCAGCAGTGTATGCTTATTCAAATGAACACATAAATGTTGGCACAGACGACAAAGGAGAAAGAGGAGTGATAAGTGTTCTGCATTGCCTAATGATAAGTGCCTACCGATAAGTGAATCCAGAACCTAGTCACTCCTAGCCAAGCTCACGATGCACAACTTGTGCCTGCAAAAATGCATGTAGGCACATTTATATTTACCGGAAGCTGCTCAGCTGAAGAGGAGGAGGTTTGGAGTAGCTTGCTTATACAGCTTTCTGCTGTCGCTTATTCCTGGATCAGTATTCCTGATGTCACTTGTTTTCCGCAATAAACTACTCAAGGTCTCTATGGGAGAATGTTTAATGGTTGGCTTAAAATTATTGCGTATTACCAGAAAACTAGATTACACTCTACAGCGGATTATCTGCAATATTGGTAAACTGACAGAAAAGTAAAACCACAGCTTATTTAGAAGGAAAACAGAAAGTCCTGGAGCAAATCTTATTTAGAAGGAAAATAGAAAGCCCTGGAGAGGAGGCACTTATCCGTAGTGTTTCTGCTCCCGGGTATTTATCAAAGACATTGCAGGCTAACTTCTGGC